CTGGGGAGAAGGCAGGAGCCAAGGAGAAGGCGGAAAGGGGAGAAGGAGGGGGAGAGGAGGAAGGGCGGAGAGGGAAGGAGAGGGGAAAGAAAGGGGGAGAAGGGATTCTTGTACTTGTGAAGCAGCAGTTACATGTTGTTATTAAATATCAGTCTGCTCCATAGCAGCGACTAAGACAGAAGCTGCACATCGCAGTACGTGCTGCTGCGTGCTAAGTTCTGTTTTTTCAGTCCCGTTACCAAAAATCCTTACCTGCCCTGCTCAAGCAAGACGACGTCCTTCCAACCCAGCTTGGCGAGGTGATAGGCCACCGAGGTGCCCGTGATTCCTCCCCCGCAGATGACCACCCGGGCCTCTGCCGGCAGGGGGACCGGCTGCGTTTCGGCCGTCCCGGAGGCGCTCCGGCAGCGGGCCGCGCTCCTCCACTTGGGGTCAGCCCCACGCCACCGCACGTCGGCCAGCAGCCGCAGGAACATCCCGGCCGCTCCGTGCCAGCACCGCTGCGAGCAGACACCGCTCCTCGTGGGGAGGAAGGGACGAGAATCACCGCTCAGCTCGGGACCGGCACGAGAGGAGGCGGAAAGCCGAGAGCCAAGGATGGGCGCTACGGGCGGGCGCGCCGACCGCAGCGATGGGAGGTGGGGGCGGGAGGAGGCACAGCGCCCGGGCAGCCGGCAGCCCGTCTGACAGCGCGGGACGCGGGCGGCTCCGCGCCTCAGGCACCGACGCCGGGCTGCGCAGGCCGCGCCGGCACCGCCTCAGGCCGTTCCCCGCCGCTCATCTGCGGATCCACAGAGGCAGCGCGGAGCGGGCGGGAACGCGAGGACGAGGGGACGGCGAGAGGGCCGGCTGCGGCCGCTCCGGGCCGGGGGAGAGCGGGGCAGGGCCGGGCAGCGGGGCCGGGCAGCGGCTCACCTGGCGGCGGGAGGCCGGACTGACCTTCCGCGCTTTACGGCAGGCGGGCGGCAGCGCGACAGCCGCTCAGCGCGCCGCATCGCAGCCAATCGCAAACCAGCACAGAGCGAGGGGGCGTGGCTACTGTTAGCCACGCCCCCTGTAGGGTTTCCCTTAAAGGGGACGCAGCGCGTTGCAGCGTGCGTGGAGGGGGGGTGAGAGCACCTACGGGGAGGCTGGAAGGCAAGAATCAAAAATAAATGTGAACACAACAAGTAAAAACCTGCAGACTCTTTTTATTAAATTCTCCCATTTCATCTGTACAGAAAAAAAATGCACATTATGTTCAGAATCTCAGTAACATCTCAAAATTACACAGCATGAACATGTAAAAAAAAAAAAAAAAAAAAAAAAAAAAAAAAAAAAACGAGAAACGGCCAGGATTTTATACACAGAAAAGAAAACAATTTACAAAAAGAAAAGAAAAGTCTCGTTAATGTCACATTAAAAAAAAAAAAGTTAAGTTCAAACAGCCTTCGCTGCACAATGAGAGGTTGCTGGGTCTGTTTCACACTGCTGGGGGAGGGGGAAGGGGGAACAGACACCCCCCTGCCACACTGCCAACGAAACACTGAGTTGTGTTTTAATAGAAGCCACCACCATCCCTCCTGGAGCACGCTTCCTCCTCTACAAGGCCATGAGATGCAAGGCAGCTCTGCCACACTGCTGTTCTCCCCCCACGATACATTCCTGTGCTCACAGACTGCAGGGCTGCTGCCCATCCCATCCCCTCCATCGCTGCCATCCCTCACACTCCCTGTGGGTTCGTTTGTTCGGGCTTCCCCAGCCCTCTCCAGTAAGGCAGATGGAGCCAGGCATCACTGCAAGCACCAGGAACACCATCCCTAGCCACGTCAGTCATGCAACAGCCTGAAGGGCAGAAGCAAGGCAGGAGGAAGCTATGCTAGAACTCAGCAAAAAGACTTGGTTAGAGCCGCCAGGCGAGCAATAAATAAGATTATTTCTTAAGGTCAGCAAGAATGGATGCTAAGAGGTTAGCTGGAGCTGCCCACGTCCTCCCAACACGCCATCAGGAAACACAACCTGCTAACTACAAAGAGCTGCACGCCTTGCTGGCTACCAGCCCCTCCCCTGCCTGCACCTTCCCAGCAGCACAAGCATCCCCACGCCAAGGGCAAGCTCTATACGTGGCTTTGCGAGAAGGACAAAGACTCTCACAGCGTTCTGCAGGAATGCAACCTTCCCCACCAACGCTTTTTGGGCTGATGACAGTTCTAGCACTTTCCACCATATCACGACAGGCTTCCTTGATTTCAAGGCAGCAGCAGAGGTTCTTACCACCATTTATCCTGCAATGGAAAACCTGTGGGCAAGGTGTTGTGCTGGCAACAGGCAAAGCAGGCTATTTTTGGAAGAGTACTTTGGGGGGTTTCTGTGCTTTTGAGAACTCTTAGATTTTTAGGTATAGAGGAGGAGGAGGAGAGCATCTCGAGGTTGGGATTGGGTACATATCTAGTAAAGGAAAAAAAAAAAAAGCAAAATTGATCATCAGCAGTGTCTGGAAGCCTGATTTTAAAACACGAGCGTAACGCTTACCACTACAAAGGCCTGATCCCTCTGCCCAGCATCACACCTTTACAAACACAGCGACAAAGGACGCTGGAAGGAAACATGCAGAGATGCAGCCAGCATCTGCCTCTGCCCCCAGCACTGCGGCTCTCGTGATCCTCACGTGTCACATCAGAATCCATCAGCGCGCCATCTCCAAAGCCAGCGAGAACGCAGGAAGCTTGGATCATCCCCTGCATCAACCTTCTCCACATCACAAAGCAGAAAAAAAAAACCCAACCCAGAACATACAGAAGTTTACCTTCACAGTGGAACATGGTTTACATTCAGAGCTATAGCTACAAACCTACAACTTTCACTGCAACGCCGTTCAATTTGGAATTCAGTGGAAGATGCTACTTCTAGACAACAAACCATCTTCATTCGGCTCTTCAATCTAACCAGGTTACAGAATGCCTTTTTGGAAGTCACAAGAGGTTAAAAAAGCTCCAGCAGCAATTTCCTTGTGCCTGATAGATGTTCTTGTGCCACGCAAGCAAGACTGCACACAATTCCCCTTCTCTCCCACCTGTGCAGTAAAGGTAGCTCCACACTGTCACACCAATCTATAATTGCCAAATTAACAACTGAAGCGTTGTACACCTGTGCTCTGTGTGTGACAGAGCTCCTTTTCTGTGCCAATTCACGTTTACAGAGGACTAATTTAGCTCCATCAGCACTGGGGAAAAGGGGGGAGGAAATGCAGGTTTGGTTGCTGTTCTACCTAACAACCCCACTGATACCAGCACACACCAGTTCTCTACTGAATCCTCATGCTCAGACTTCCTTACCCACCACAGCATATCAGAATGCTCAGAGACAGAAGGGCTCACAAGCAGAGCAAGGATCACCTGCATCACCAACCTCTTGCTGCCCATCCTCAGAGCAGGATGAAGGAACCTTTGCAAGAAGCTTCACGTGGTACAGCTTTCTAGCACTTCAAAGAGGCAGCAAAAGCCATCACGGTATTTTGCATCTGCCTTTCTGTACATGCAGCATCATGGGAATCTGCTGGTCCATGTTCCAGGATGTCTCAAAGCCACCTCCCTCATTATCACAGAGAATAATGCAGAGAACTGGAAAATGTCAGATCTTACCTAGCAGCGTGCTAAGAGGGAAAATAACGTCATGGTTTAAGCATCAGCCTAAGCTAGACAGGGTCAGGCACGTGATTTTTACTGCAGCACACGCAGGAGAGCACATCAAGAAGGCTGATAAAGCACACCCTACTGTACACACTATGCTGGCTCTCGTGCAGTCACTTCTAGGTTGAAAGTGTTGGGGAAATCTATCTGCTCAGCTTCTGACCACAGCACGTGGCTCCCCACTTCTTCTAGCACTAAAGGAACAAAGATGATGGCCACAGCTTTTCCAGAACACCTCCTTCCAGAGCACCCGTGTGCACACGCTGACATTTCTGCCTTTCTCACAATACCGTTCTCTTCCCCTCCCCTCCTACCTGACTTTCAGGACCAGCACCTGCACCCTGCATCCCAGGGAACACCAGCTGCTATCTTCATAGCCGTGAGGAAACTAAAAACAGTGCCACCATTGAAAAGATGGAGGCCAGTTACAAACCACTGTGCTAGCCCACACGTAGCTGACAGAGCAGCCGGGTCAAGTGTTCAGTCACATCCTGCATCACTGACAAAGCACTGCACTGCCAGGTTGTCAATACCACCTGTAGGAAGTTAACTGGGAAGGGTAACAGCTTCACAGCAGTAACGTGAAAGAAAAGGAGTGTTAAAATGTCACTGCATCGTCACTAATAAAAACATTGACCAAGTAACCAATCCAGGCTCCTCCTGCCTGCTGACAGCAGCACTGCACACAACGGACAGGCTGTACAGCCTCGTGTCCACGCCGTGTCTTCAATCTACTGAAGTTGTACAGCTCACATGAGTACTTAATCCTGGTCGGTACTTTATTCTATCTTGAGCAGCAGAGGAAGAAAGGGAGGACATCTTTTCAGCCAAAAGAATCCACAGTAACAAAAGCAGGATATTCACTAGGAGAGGACACCGGTGCTGGCGTCCATGGGTTGTCCCAGACTATGCTCTGAAGATGCTTTACACAAGATGAGCAAGATGTCCAAAACAAGGCCAACTGTGGTGCGAGATGCAATTTACCCTTTACTTTCCTGCCTCCATTTCACCCAGCCACAGAGGAGGACTATATTTCAGTACGAACCGTTACCTAAATCATATTGTTGGTATGCAGATATATGTCTTCCTTTAAAAATTTACTTAAAAACTGCTTGAGCTGCAGGTCGTTTCAGTCTGATTTGGAGAGTGAAGGCAGTTCCAACAGTACAACAGAGACTTGTCTACAGGCAGGTAAACGAGAGTCTGCTAACAAAGGGATAACAAAAGCTGCTGGCTGGGCTGCCAATGTTGCACATAAACTTTCATAGGATGGAGATGCTGTGGATGAGATCCAGGATGGGAAAACTGAGCCAACACCTGCTGCTGTTCTAATTTTTTTTTTTTCTTTTTATTCTCCTCTCTCACAAGAGGGGGTGGGTAGACTATACAGAGGAGGGCTGTACAAAACTGGGCACTGGGCAGGCATTTCTCCAGCAGGCAATCCAGGCTCTACCTGTCCTTGAGCTCTCTTGTCACCCGCTTGGTGATGCGTCCACACATCAGGCCGATCAGGAAGAGTACACAGATGCCAACTGTGATCACAGACAATATGTAATTCTTGGACGGAGAGGTCATAACTTGCATGGCAAGGTCAGAGAAGCCTTCCGCTGGGGCAACCTAAGGGTGAGAGGGAATCAATGAGCCAAGCTGTGCTTTTTCCATGCGACTCAGCCTGGTTATTTTGTAAGGGATGGCATCTCTTGCAACAATTACAAGTTAAACAGAATCAGAGAAAATCTGATTTTTATTTTTTCTCATCTAAAACCTCAAAATGCTGAACAACACTGCAAGACAACAATGTTCCTACAGCTCAGGCTTTCAGTAGAACACCTTGCAACAAAGATCCAATGCAAAAAAGAAAAAACCAACAAGGAAGGTCCTTACATCTGTTACATACTCACCTTTGCAGCATAGCTCCACATTTCAATACGATCATTAAGGCGTTTCTTGCATTCAGGCTGCAGCCTCACACGCTTGTCCTCAAGAGCTTCCATTAAGCATGACATTTCTGTGATGTACAGAAGATGGTGTTACAAAATAAAAGCTGTGCCTTCAACAACGTGCTGTGGAAAGGGCTGCTGGAAAGGGATATTTCAGTTCTATTTGAGGCTGATGGTTACTCAACTTTCTAAGCAGACCAGCTAAGGCTGATGAACTGCACACAAAGCCCTGTCTTCCCTTTGAAGGGAATTAATTTTACCTGTCAAACGTACCGAAACAAAAAGCCAACCATGGGCAAATACTGACAGGAACAAAGAAGGATCAGAGGGATTGGCTAAGAGTAAATCTTGTGAAACTAAAGTGATTTGCTTCTGTAAGAGAAGCAGCTTAGACTCAGGGAAGCTTTTGATACAGCCTACTATAGCACGGCTATAAGCTGGAGCTGCACAAAGCTGATACAGGGTGAAGATACACATCACTGCAAAATTGAGCCCACTCATTCTGAACAGGATTTACCTGAGCAAGGATTTCACAGAAAGGCTATGGACCTGATTTCATGCTTTTTTCAGTAATCACATGAATCAGGCTGCAGGGAGACCTCACTGTGGCCTTCCAATATTTGAAGGGAGCATATAAACAGGAGGGGGAATGGCTGTTTATGAGAGTGGATGGTGATAGGACAAGGGGAATGGTTTTAAACTGAGACAGGGGAGGTTTAGGTTGGATATTAGGAGGAAGTTTTTCACACAGAGGGTGGTGATGCACTGGAACAGGTTGCCCAAGGAGGCTGTGGATGCCCCATCCCTGCAGGCATTCAAGGCCAGGCTGGATGTGGCTCTGGGCAGCCTGGGCTGCTGGTTGGCGACCTGCACACAGCAGGGGGTTGGAACCAGGTGATCATTGTGCTCCTTTTCAACCCAGGCCATTCCTATGATTAATAATGGAACATAACATACCCTCTTTAAAAACAGCAGATAGGCTGCAAGGATAGGACATCAGGATTGAAGAACTGATCCTACTGCCTTGGGCAGAAGGGAGGACTGAACACTACTTGATACACCCCTCATCCAGCAGCACTGATCACCTCTGCAGCAGTTCCAGCCCATTACCCCCAGAAAAACAGCAGAAATATCTGGTACTTAAGATTATGCTGGTATGAAAACGCAGCTTAAGGCCCTCAGGACTCAGAGGTTGCACAAGGAAAGCACGAGCACTTACGGCGTCCTCTCCCTGGAGGAATAGCAGCACAGTGGTGTTTAATGTCTAGGGCACAGGCTGTGTGCAGCACTGGGTCCACAAAGATATCTGCTTTGCTCTCTTTCAGCATGTTGAGCACTTCCTGGGGGGGGAGAAGAAATTGCAAGCACATCTCAAGCAACAACAAAAAACAGGAGAGAAGAAAACAGCACAGACCTTGCTGATCTGTGTTTCTGAAAGATGCAGCACCTTTTCCAACCCAGCATCATGCCAAACAACACTGTCACTGGATAAAGGCACGAATGCTGTTTTAGGCTGGATTAAATGTTCTGCTTTATGAGGGTAAGCACAGTTACCTCGACTGAAATAATCACACTGATCTAAAATCCAAGCCAGTACACACTGCCTCCATGCTGGCTATAACACAGCTTGGGTTGGGATCTACGAAAGTACTTAAGAAGCCCAACTAGTGCAGGGATGAGATGCCTCTCAGAGCTCATCCAATACATCTCCTTTACCTTCTTGCACATTTCGGTTTTTATTTTCAGCAGGTTCACTTTCAGGCATTCTTCCACCTGCCCAGTCTGCTCCTGAGCTGCTGCTTCTTCAGCACACAAGCTGGAAATCTATTGTGAAGAAGGTATTTTAATGAATCAGTAGTTAATGACAATAACTGTGCCTTTGATATGTCAACACATTAGTTCATGAGAGGTTACAGCTAGAGAACACAAGTTACTTTCCCACCCAGAAATCTGAGCCAAATGTGATGCACTCAATAATGTAATAACCTTCAGAACCCAACAGCAAGAAGTCCACGTTGCTATGAGAGGAAGGCAGGAAGGGAAAACAGCATAGAAACACAAGCAATACTTGAGATGTGGCTTGTTTAGGCTGTTAAAAGTGAAAGCTCAAATCTGATTGTATTCCAGTTAAGCTTGACAAGATCAGAAGGAAAAAAAGCAAGCAGCATTTCTCTCACAGTCACAAGCACTGATTGAGAAGGGGCTTCCTGAGACATGAATGGGGTTTTCATTCTGAATAAGCAAATGCAGAGCTGCTTCTCCTACCTCTTCAGAGCAGTGCATCTGAAGCTGGGGGTCCAGTCGATAATCAAGAGCTGATTCCTGGATTATCACTCGAATTTGGTCCTCGCAGTCTGGAGAGAGACGCTATTGAGCGGAGAGAGTCATTAACCCACTCAATCACCTTCATTCTCATAAATCAATCACCCTGCATTTTAACCTGTGTATTCCCTACCTGCTGTGCAGGAGCATAAAACCCCATTTCTGTGTGTATATAATTAGGTGTACTGAAGAAACTGAGTGCAATTTAATCTGTTATTCAGCACAACCCAGCACAGCCTCAGCACCGCTCACCTGGTCTGCGTACTTCAGCTTCAGGCAGGAGATGACTTGCCCCTCTAACTCTGTATCATCCTTGGCTCTATTCAGGATATTCTGGCAGAATTTCGGTATGTCTGCTTTGCAGGCTTTCCTCAGCACGGGATTTAGGCGATAATCTAACCAGGAAAGATCACAGAACATCATTAGAGCACCCATCTCCTCACACTGTAGGACGTAACGCTCCAAGAGGTCTGACAGAAGTTTTCCAAGTTACAGTTTTTCCCCATACATTTAATTTTGGGGATAAAATAACAGTTTTTCACTAATCGACTGTAACCAGGTAAGCAATGCTTTGGGAGTAAAGCAGCTCTGCATGCTGGCCCTCCAGAACTGGGCAGAAGAAAGTTAAGTGTGTGCACTGACAGCTGTGTAAGAAACCAGGTTGGTTTTGTCCCAGCCACGCAGATCACTCACTGGCTCAAGCAGACAGTTAAGGTCTTTAATTCAGGAGGGAATACCTGTGTTCTGCGTGATCTGGCGCTTGGTTATCATTTGCTTGCACTTCGGATCCATCACTTCACTGTTCTTGTTTTGTTTCAAACACTGCAACATGTTTTTTGAGTCTGCTTCTGGACAAAAACGCTGTAAAAACAAAAATGTCCAAGTTTTAATCACTGAAGACATGAAAACATGGATACTCGTGGAAGAGAATAACCACACACCCAGCCCAGAGGTTCAGAGAACCCCATGCTCCCTAACCCCATTATTTCCTACTAAGAAGAACAGTGCCAGTCTCTCAGTCGCCCATGGGCACAAATACCTGTGCTTATGAAGTGAGCACCAAGCTGTAGACTCCTGACTTGCTTCCAGCCTTCAGCTTGCATTGGTAGCACTAAAAGACTTCTGCTTTTATTTTCTTCCACAAGTGACAGCTTGTATTTGCAAGACGGTTCCTTTAAGGCAGCATTTCTGATTTTAAGCAAGCAGGTTTCTGCACAATTTTTGCCTGCTTATCAGGCTGATGAAAGTCTACATGCACCAGCAGCGAGCTGAAGATGCTACTCCTCTCTGCAATCACAGCTTCTCCACCTTGCTTAAAGGACAACGCAATATTCAGCAAGGGGAGTGAGTGTGTGAGCCCTATGGGAAGCCTCAGCATAGACTTCCTCCTCCGTTCTGCTGAAACTTGAAGACAAATCTACCAGTGTGCAGGCTTTGACCTGATATTCAGCATCATTAAAAGGGAAGAACCTTGAAGAAACCTGATTCTGAGCTGAGAATCTGATTACTTGCATGAAAGCAATCACGCTTTGAAGCAACACAGACATTTTCTAAGAAGCCTATGGGAAGTTCAAAACTGGCTCGAGGCACTTCCATAGCCCAGCCTCACCCTCTGGAATCAGCAAACACCCGTCACCTTGATCATCTGCTTGCAGACTCTCATCAGTGTGTAGTCCAGCTCTGGATCCATCATCTCTGTCTCCTGCAGCTTGAACACCTTCTGGTGGCACCGGGTACTCAACTGCTTCTTGATTTCTTTCAGGCATTCTATGATCTACAACACAATAACAACCAGGACAGGTGTGCTGTTGGCATGATTCCACCCTATGCTGCTCCAGCCCACCTATGTGCCCCCTGTTGGCTCACTATCTTCACCCATCAGCACGATTACATTTATGATGCCTAGATTTTATCAGACAAATCGTTACCAGTGCTGATTTCCACCACTTGCTTCAAGCTCATCTTTTCCCACAAACAAATGTAAGGCAACAAAGCTGACCTGGACCTGCTCCAAAACCCCAAACCTCATCCTGCAGATTATACCTACAAAACCTTCAGCAACATCTGCAGTCACCAGCAGCTAATAGCTTTATATTAGCACAATGGTGCTAATTTTGCATGCTCACAGCAATGCATTCATGCAGTATTAAATGCTTGGGAACTGGTAGAAAAAAAATACCATACTCCAAAATAGCAACAGGAGATTTCAGTAATATCAAAATGAAAACCTAAACCTCCAAGGAGAGGAAAAAATGATCTTAAAAAAAAAAAGTTTCTGAAGCTAAAGTACAAAAATTAAATAGTAAATTATTCAGGTGATCCATTACCTGGGCATTGCCATAGGGAACATTTTGGCAGTAATTCTTGATGTCACTTTTACAAGCCTCATAGAGCTCTGGTTCAAGTCTGATGTCTTCCGTCTGCAGGAGAGATTACAGTACAAACTTTTAACTGGGACTCATACAGTTCAAACAGAGCCATCTGCTTACAAAGGGAGGTCAGCAGCTTTGATTTAATGGCATCCTGGGGGTAAGAAACATCAACAGGAACTAAACTTTGCAAATCCATACAAGGTATCAGTTTTGCATGGTGACTGAGGGGGTATTTTTGTTTAAAGCACAATGCTAGAGCTAAGAAGTTGTTTCCCAGGCTCCTCCTAGCAGGGCATTGACACAAAGGCCTGAGCCAGCTAAAAGATCAGGTGAACAGTGATGACCACTCTGCAGCCATCCAACCTGCTGGGTGATGCAAATGGAGCTTCCTGCTTTTAGCAGTGCCCAAACAAAAGCTTGTTGCTGTCAGTGCTGCAGCAGAAAGCTCGGAGGTGACCTTGCATGCTACCCCCAGTTATACACACAGCCACCTAGAGCAGCTGGATTCAAGGCAGCTCATCTGTTCTCCTCTCTTCAGTCTGTAAAATGAAGCTCATACTTGCTCCAAGAGGACTTGTAAGGACACAGGCACGTGTAGCATGCTGCTGAATACTCAACATCATCACTTCTAGCTGAAATCCCAATGACCACTTAGTTTTCTCAGCCTTCACAAGCCTACACTGAAGGCACTGAAGCAGACAGTCGTTATTTTTCACTGCCAAGGTCAACCGAGCCCAGTGTTGTAAGAACAGTGGAAACAATAAATGAGATACATCGAACAAACGAGCTTCATTTTGTTCCAGGGTGGACAAAATAGGAAGTTGGGAGTGAAAGACCTTGCTAGAAGAGCAGGCAGACCACGAATTTGACACGTTTACCATTTCCAGCTCCTCCACACGCAGCTGCTTGCGGCACTTCAGAGATACCCTGTGCTCCTTGGCGTCCTGCAGAGTGTCATTGCGCACCGTTGTGCTCAGACAGATCACTACATCCACCCTGCAGAAAAGAAGAAAGGTTCTTAACGCACGTATCCTCCACTTGGATCAGCCACAACTGAGAAACGGACCCCAAGGATCTATACATAATGGGATCCTCAAGTGTCTATTGGGACAGCTCAGTGTGGGATTGCAAATAAAGCCCCTAAATCTGATGATATCCAATGGCAATCCAAACCAACAGATACAGTAATATTCTCAGCATCCCTACAAAGCTACTGGGCAGCAAGACCTGTGCTCTTAAGTCAATGAGCACCGCAGAAAGTCAATGAGCACCTCAGAAAAGAGGAACTATAACTACTAATCTTCAGAAATACACAAAGGTATATACCCCTATATGATGATCAGAGGGCTGGAGCACCTCTCCTATGAAGAAAGGTTGAGGGAACTGGGCTTGTTTAGCATGGAGAGGAGAAAGCTCCAAGGAGACCTCAGTGTGGCCTTCCAGTATTTGAAGGGAGTGTATAAACAGGAGGGGGAATGGCTGTTTGTGAGGGTGGATGGTGATGGGACAAGGGGGAATGATTTTAAACTGAGACAGGGGAGGTTTAGGTTGGATATTAGGATGAAGTTTTTCCACACAGAGGGTGGTGAGGCACTGGAACAGGTTGCCCAAGGAGGCTGTGGATGCCCCATCC